TCTATCGCACTTGCAAAGTCCGTCTTCTGTGCGCGAAATTATAACGTTCGATAAATCGATATTTGGAATAAGCGGGCGTAATTGTTATACGCAGAAATAATCTATATGTGGCTATATTTGGTGCCTCCCCCCTCTCCCTTGAGATCATGAATAATGAAGCGTCGATAACTTTGCAGCCGGTGGATAAAAAGCCGAGAATACCCGAGAGCGAGATCTTGACGACCGGCACCGAGGATGAGGAAGCTTCCTCTGCGCCTGAACGAGTTTCCGTGCAAAAGAATCTCCGCTTCTTCGGCGATACGGATCAGGAGTCCGTCTCGTCCAACAGAGACCGCAGGTAAATGCTATAATATAAGCCGCGTATGCACGATCGGTTAAATATTTCGTGCAAGAGTGATTTAAATATTTCGACTGTCGTCTACACTGTTAAATCTATAGTGTCAAATTTAAAGTCGCCACTGCTCCTACTAAATATATCGTTATTTTTTATCAAAACGATAATTAAATTTGACACTATATTGTGTCAATTTGACACTATATAGTATTAAATTATAGGAACTCACGTTAGTGAGTAATTAAATTTGACATTATAGATTTAACTTTTTCATCATCATTACATTTTGCTCTAATTAATATTCTTATTATAAACAAAAATACAATAATCTATTTCTGTTATTCATCTTGCTTTAATTATTTTACGCACACATATCGGATATTATTTTTCTTAATATTGATTATACTTAATTATATCAAATATTCTAAGTAATTGTTGCTTTACCAAAATTTAAAAAATCTTATATATTCTTTTAAAAAGAAAGATAATATACACGTACATACACTGAAAACAATTTTGATGTTATATCAATAGCATTATTTGAATTGAAAATAATTTTGTTAATTTAATAACATTATTAATAAAACAAATATGGCGTTCTCTTGTTTCAATAAAATTTTATTTGTTTCATTAATACTGTTAAATCAACAAAATTATTTTCAATTAAAATAATGTTGTTGATATAACATTATTTTTGTTCAGTGTATATTAATTAAATAAGAATATAATTTAGTAAGAATATAATTTAGGGTATCGATCATGTGATTTTTTTCCTATGACGGAAACGTGAAAAGTGAAAAATTTTTTATCTGTGTGAATATGTAAAAATTTTTATTTTTCACATTTCTGTTTTAGAAAAAAAGTTACGTGACCGATGTAATTAGATTATAAAAAAATTTAATTAATTAAATTAATTATTTTAGAAACAAAAGAGTTGACGACCATGCCCGCTCGAGGCGTGATGTCACAAATTCGAACCGCTATAATTTGGGTATCATACCAGCCCCAAGGAAATCTTCGAGACTCGCTGAAAGCGCATTGTCTTCGGGTGAGAGTACAACGGGTGATAGTAGCCAACAAAGTCAAAACTCTCAGAGATCACAGAGATCTGTAGTGTATCTCCATGCTGCTACAGGTATAATAAAAATATTTCTCTAATATAGTATTCGTAATTATTGTAATGTTATTCTAAATCTCTTCTATTCGAAGAGATTTGTACAATTTATTTTTTAGTGTGATATATTTAATTTCTTATTTTTAAAAAATCCAAAAACCAAAAATTTTTAAAAATAAAGAATTGTTGAATTTGAATAATTATTTAAATCGATTATATCGTAGCGAAAATATCAAGATATTGTTGGTAATTATTTATATTCTAAAATATAAATAAACAAAATATCTTTTGTGAATTAACCTTTTGTGAATTAACCAGATTAAAATAAAATAATATGTTTTAAATTGAAAATTAGAAAGTAATAAAAATATATACGCTTTATATTAAATTTAAATACTAATAAAATATTGATCAATCCACTTAAAACAAGTATATATAATATATGAACTTCTTCAATATCTTATATATAACGTTTAGCTGAAAAATTATCACTGCCAATAATCGACATGCTCTATGAAAGTTCAATGAACGCTTGAATTTTGCAATACTTATCACATTTGCGTCATAGGAAATTTATAAAAAATACATTACACTGAACATTGATTAGATATTTAGTAGTTATTTAATTATCAATCTATATGAATAATGTTCAGCTGTGAAGATGTAGAAAATGTCGTCAAGCGTAACCGCATTCTAATTACGACTCAATATCTGCATTCCAGTCGGCGAAATACCAGGCCCGAACGAACGACGCCGAGCGGCAAGTCGCGAGGAGTTAAATCGACCGTTGCAATCACACACGAGAACGGTGTCAAGAAGCGTGAGCGTCCTTGCTCCGTGGAAGCCGCGACATTATAGAGAACCGTTCGAGATCAACTATGATCAGCAACAGCATGCGAAACCGATTGCGACCATGAGACGTAGACAACGAAGCCGCGAAACCCTCAGCCGCCGAGGAAAGGAAGCTCGGCGAAGCAAAGACAATCTTTCTAAGACAAGTAAATGATTTTCTGCAAGCAAAATAACACGATAACCTGTTAAATAAAATATGTAAATCTTTAAAAAGAGAAAATTAAATGGCAATGTATTTTCTCTTTTTTTTCTTTAATTTTTAATAATAAAAACTCTTGAAAAATGTTTAATGTAAGTGTTTCACTAAGCGAATAAAATTGTATCTTTTAATGAAATACTTTTACAATGAACTTAAATAATTTTAAATAGTTTAAATTCTTTTAAACTTCAAGATAAATAAAAAACTGTATTTAGTTATTTTTCAAGTTGTCAAGAAAAATAAATTAGATTTAATTAAAACTTAATCATTAAAGAGAGCTTTGTGCAAACAATCTGAACTAATGCTATATTATCTGAATTCGCTATTTCTCTTCAGTTCATATTTTATCGAGGCACTATTAATTTATCGATTTAATAATAACTCTATTTAAGAAACGAAAATATTCATTCACTCATTGCAGGTACGATCAATCGCAGTACATTAAAATCGAAGGACAAGCAGAAAGTGGATAGAACTGTTTCCACGGAATCGCTGGCCACCAAATCACGAGGCATAGGCTCCAAGGTGGAATTAAACAGATCCACGTCCGTGCCCCGTGACCCGAACAAGAGTGCGGGATGGTTCAAGCTAAAGAGCAAGAAGTCCCGCGCTTGAATTGGACGGCCATTGATCAATGCTAGTCTCGAGTTTCATAAGTGTAATCCGTAATTTCGTAAGCGATTAATAAGCGTCGATATCCGGCGCGCGCTAATTAATAACGACGCGACTTATCGATAATATACACCTTTTAACATGCACATCGCGCGAATGTCGATCGCGACCACGCGAATTTTTAATTTTTTAACCGAGTAGCATATGATTGCGACAACGACGTGTAAATTAATTGCTGTCAACACGTTGATCGATTTTACGAATTTATGGAATTTCCGTGCTACCTAAGACACAAAGTTTTAATCCCCGCATAAATAGATCTATATATCTATACGTAACAGAATAAAACAATTATCCAAATATATACATAGGCACATGCGAAGAAGATTTCAACTTCAATTATGCGTCAAATTAATAATTGTTATGCTCTTTGCGCAAATAACGTTCTTTATAACAAAGAAGATTGCGAAAGAATGATCGAATGTAAACTTTTGAGAAATATAAAATTAAATATAAAGTATATTCTAAAATGAGAATCTTCTCAATATGTCAAATGTTACTTTATTTTAATAGCTTTCTCTCTGCCAAATTTAATGAATTAAATTTGTTGCAAATGATGAGAATGCGTTTATAATATGTTCGCATATACATCGTGAATTAACATTTCATCGTGCATTAACTTTTCTTTTTCCTTCAAGGTTTGACAAAGTGTTTTAATCATTTGATGTTTTTTTCATATTTTCACATAATTAAATCCATGTACATTACGCATTTGTGAAAAATTAACGCGTCACTTTATTCTACCGTGAATCAAAGTGCCATCTTCATTTTTCTACATTCCTAGTACATACACTTTTTGTTAATGAATTAAAATTCCCAGAATATATATTCTAACGAGCAATATCTTTCTTTATGATAAACATTAGTGAGAAATTCAAGAAAAAATATTTTTCAAATTTCATCTCAACAATTGAGAGTATCTCGATTTATAAAACGGACACGTTACGTAGCGATATCTATTGAATGTTTTCCTATGCATAGATCAATCTCATCTTTGCTTATTGTATATAAATACTTGTGTTGATAATCATAATTCTTAATCTATTTTTATTAGGACCTGTGTTTTCATTATATATATATATA